AAATGCAGGATCTTTCCTCACATACCTTTTGTACAATATGACGGGGAAACTTCTTAAATAAAGTGTAATATTTCTAGTTTCATATGGCTAACAAATCAATAAAAGGGAAGTAATTGGCTTAGGACTTCTTTTTAGTTGTTGTCTGAGGTTTAACTGTATTTGGAGCTCTGTCTGTCTGTAATTTATGTGTTTGAACTGCAACCTCCATCCAGCTCGTCTCGAGTCTGGACGCTCTTACCATAAGCCAATAAAGGAATTGATTTCATTTCCAGCCCATCAAACCCAGCCAATGTTTGGTTGTAGTTGTACTCCTTGATGCCAGACGTTAAAGTGTTTGTCTGATATATTAACATTCTTTATGTCTACAATCATCAAGGTACACATAAATTCTCAAACATATAGCAGATTTGACCGTGTAGTGAGTCTTGATCTTTAACAGCGAGTAAACGTGCATTTTCCTGAAGTGTTTCTTTGATGTTAAATCAGGATTTATTGGCTGTACAAACCGCCTTTTGCTGCCAAAGTTGATGTAAGCAGGTGAGTGAGGTGGTGATATCACTGAAAACCAGCTGGGATAAATGTGTGAATCAGATATGAAAGAATGATGTGAGCTGCACGGGCATGCTAACATGTGAGTCATGTTTCATTTAGGCTAACCTGAAGTGAGATCACCATCACACGATGCCCTTTACTCTTTACCTGAAACCACAAACATAAGCAAAATAGTTTCAACATGACTTTTCTTTTGATGAGCACATCCCTTCCTGATTGCTATCACCTTTTCAACATCTCTGTCATCACATTTCTGACCTGATGTGACTGCACTGTTTGGCTCATCTTTCTGATGTTCTCTTTCGATGCAGTAACTGGAAACAAACTCGGACTTGCAAAGATGAAACTCAGAGATTGCATCTAAGTCACACCTTTACCTGTTGAGACACATGAGTAGATAAAGATCTGAAACTTGATTATTCATGTTGTATCTTCATGTTATTTCTGTGGTTCTTTATGCAAGCTTGTTCATATGTGTTAGTTTTGTTATTCACTGAAATGTACCTTATTGCACATTTCAGTCTTTTTGGCATTTCTGTAGTGAAAGCATTATATTTTATATTTTAATATCAATACATTTGGATTTGGATTGATGGATGTTCAAGGGATTTGAACATTTTGTTGATGAAATCATGCGTGTGATGGTCTACTTTTGGCAACTCCGGTGAATTGAATGCCAAAAAACCTCTGAATATTCAATAATTCCAATGTTTTTATTGTGCTTTCTCTCCTTTTGGAGGCTTACAGGAGTGCATCAATACTAAATAACTAGTAACATAATAGGCTAAGATTCATTGTGATGATATAACATCACCAAGAACATGAACTGCTTCTTTCACGTTTCTTAATTACCAGCTGCGACATAATGTGAAGCTGTTTTGATCACTTTACGAGGTGTTAATATGTTTTCCCGCGGACAATTATTGTGCGCTTGCAAGATGTCCCAAATATTTGCAGATGTGTAGTTGAGATCTAAATAATGGCTGAGTTGGAGCCTATGTTTTCTCTGTGTTACGACTTGTAGAATCAGTATCTTTCCTGTGTGTCTGTGCAGGTGTTTGCAGAAAAAACAGATGATTCAAAAAAACATGCAAATGTTGATGAATTGAAAAAGCATGACCTTGCTTTTCTCACAGAGCTACTGCAATTACTGAGCATATATCAAATGATGCAAAAGGTTTGTATTTCGAAGAAGGTGTTGCAGTAACTTTCCTCTAGACATTTATTTACTTTCTGAATGACAGATGTAAATTGAGCTGTCTTTAATGGAGGTGTCTATGTACATTGGACGTGAGTAGATGACTAATTCAATTATTGACTGCACCTGTTCAGTAAGTATATACTTGAATCGGATTTCACTATTTGCTCAGTCGGAGCAAACACTTGAGCATTTAAAGCCCAAATACTCCAGTACAGAAAGCCTAATCCTCACTTCTGTAGCCTGGGCCCCTAATTGAAACGCAGGATTGCACTTGGCACTGAAACCAGATGTTTTACAGTCAAAACAGAGGCAGAGTGCTGATCACGAATGACAAAGTGAGGAAGCGAAGGTCATTGTGTCTCTGTAGTGTCAAAGGCTTTGGCCTATTTTCTCACAGCAGCCAGCTATTAGTCCTCCAGTGTGTGATCTGTCATTAGAGAGCGAGCCTTTGTGATCCCGGCTCTTTGGAAAGAATCACAAGCTTTCAGGAGTCGTGCCCTGTCCTTATTGATAATTACCACAAAGCACACACACTAGAAACACCAGGGTTTAATCAAGAGCTAAATGAGACAAGTAGAGCCTTGCACTCTGTTAATAAATCAAAGCTGTCTGTTTGCTTTGATAAGAGCAAAGATTACATGGTGACATTGGCCGATCACTCCACTGTCTGTCTGTCTGTCTGTCTGTCTGACACACCTTTGGCGCAGTGATAATTGCCTGTGCATTACATTTAAAAGTATGTGTGTGTGCCATGTTGGCTAAGAATATACCAACATGATTTCGACTTATCAACACCAAATTTGGTTTAGGGTCTTGGATGAAGGAGAAAATCAATTATATTAAAAAAAACTATGAAAAACATTTCCGCTATCAACCAAAAATTGCCAAAACTCAAGCTGTCGTTGATAGATCCTGATTAAACTCAGTCGAGACAACCAACATTATAAATTGAACATACACGCCAAGTTTTATCCAGATGCAACAAAGATAGGGCTTATTGTATGATGTTGTGTGTGCAGTTTTAGAAATGTCGCATATGTTTTAATAACAAGTGTAATTGGTCTCATAATCATTCCTCATAAACAGGATTAAACTTGTTAAATTACCTTGTCTTATCTCGTGAAGCATGAACTCTGCTTGATGCAGCTTGCTTCTTTTGATTTTGGCAATTTACCTTTTTTGTGTTTACCAAGAACAGGTTTAAACCTGTGATGGACTCTAGCAAAGGCATTTTTTTATCTAAAAAAATGCCAAAGTAATTTCAGTATCTGTTTAAATGTAACGTAGTTTCATAAATGTTGAGAGTTAGGTGTCTATTAAATATTTGACATTATTAAGTCAAACTCCTGCATTTGATGTGCAACTGCTTTGCACATATATCCCAGTGTGACCTGTCTCTTATCTCCGAGACAGTGTGTGACCGTTGGACTGTGTTGTGTATTTGGGGGGGAGATGTGTTTGTGGCCAGCGTTTATCAGCTGTGTGTACGTGTGTAGACGGGTGTGTGTGTGGTTGGAGGTACATTTCCCCAAGCACCTAGGTACAATTTTGACTCAGACACACATTGTTGATTTTACATAGGAAAACATCATCTTACAAAATGTGGTGCATTCCCAAGGATTAAAGTACACCAGCCATAAAGCTATAAAGCAGCTACAATTTAGATCCAACCCAGCCAGCTGCAGCAATAAATGCTGGCTCAGGCATGACACAGCAGTAACAATAATTCAACATTTGTCTACTAAAAAAATACAATTTTTCTGATTCAAATCACACACTAACAGTCCTTATAATTAGTAATTCAAGGTCAAATGAGAGCAGTTCTGTATCTTGTGTATGGGTGCCCTGAGATGAAAATACTGTAAATTAAGGATAAAACTGAGAAAAACGTATAAAAGGGCATTTAACCAAATCTGAAACACAACAAAATGGGATACAAATTAACCGGAAATATCTACAACCTACTATAAATTGACCATGCATGTACGGGAATAAATACTGCTGTTGATCTGAACACATTAAACTGCTGTGCATGCAGGCACGTTTATGCAATAACAGCGATTGATCAGCCCCTCGGCCACACCCTCGTTTGACCGCATGAAGGGTCGGCCTTGTTCAGCCTGTCCTCTTATCGACCTGTTGGTTTCTATTAGCCTCTGGTGCTAATGTGCTGTTACGTAATGCTACAGTTTGACTTGGTGTGATCACCACCGCTGTCCAGCTGAAGCCATGTGAGAGGCTCAATGGGGTTTGTAGCAGCTGGGCGATCTGCCAAACAATCCAGCCAATTTAATTTTGACTGCATGTTGCACCCTTTTTTTTTTTTTTTTTAAACTTGAAGGTCTGAGGAGCGTTTGATCGCACTTCACAGAGGACAGACTGTTTGAGACGTACTGCCAGGGATTATAACATTAAGAGGGAATATTAGTTTGGTGTATCAAGTGGAGAACATCTGCCTCCACTCGTACACACTGCCACTTAAGGATACAAAGTAACAAGTCAGGATTTTTAAAACAGGTACAGTTAATTTAATGCTAGGCCACAGGGTTTATTGGAGATACAGTGTTGAAAGGGGGAGACAGAGGGGATGAACCAGTGTACTGGGCAGCGGACACTTGTAAATGTGATTGTAAATAAGAGGAGGATATAAGAGATTATTGATCTATTGATGATATATTTGATGTATTATCATTGGTTGTATGGACCTGAAAATCAAGAGAATTTCAAAGAAAATAAGGAATAACTTTAAATTGATTTGAATCTTTATACTTTAGTTATCGATTTACTCCAGACTTTCTAGGAATAGAAATGTGTAATGGGTCGTTTTAAGCTACAGATGTGTTAAAAAAAAAGAAAGACATCTGCTGAGTAGGACATTTTAGTATTGAGCAACAAGGCTGAAGAGGAGCGTCTTCCTCTTTCATTTCCTTCTCCTTAAAAGATCGAACAAGAAATCCTGATTGAGCAAACACTGTGGAGGAGTGACGAGAGGGAGCGGCGCCCGAAGAGAGGGAGTGTGATTACCTGCTCTCTCTCTCTCTCGCTCACTCTCTCTCCTTGTAGTCCCCTCCCTCTCAGGGAGTGTACACACACACACACACACACACACACTCCTGCACTCTCCACTCCTGCTTGTTCACACACGCACTCGGCTTCATGCTGCACGCACACACCCTCGGTCTCCTCTGACTGTCTGTGTGCACATCAACGCTTGGTTAGGACTTGGATACTAGTATAGTTTTGTGTGTGTGTGTGTCTTGGTATGCATATGTCTGTGTGTGTTGACAAGGAGATGCAGTGTTGATCCATGTGCTTGAAGACAAGTGATTTTTTGGGGGGATTTTTTTGTGGTTTGCCACAGACGTAACTTTTTCAGAGTCATTTAAGGACCCTCTGCTCCGTCTTGTGCCGGTGTCGACTCCCTCAACAGGGTGAGTGCCGCTGAACTCCCAGCTGACTTTCTCACACTGCCTCTTTCTTAATCACACACTCTTTGCTGTCTCCTCTGTGCTGTCTCACTGCTGTTTTATTTCATGTCCTTCTCCCATGGATTTGTCTGTGAAATTCTCAATCTTTTACTCTTTATAGCACTGTCCAGAAATGTCTGACTGTGCTTGTGTGTGTCAGTGTGTGTGTGAGTAAGTGTGTGTGAGCTCACTTTTTCCCTTGAGGATTCAAAGTCAGTGTGCATGAAGACAGGCTTGAACAAGATGAAAGAAAAAAATCTTTCTTCAAATCAGCACTTTGCCTTAAATCTGTGCATATTTGCAAATCTATTTTTATAAAACGCTCCTCTGTTCCCTGCACAGCACAGATTTATTTGACAGCAGGCTTCACTTGCACTCCTTCTTTTAGTTTAATTATCCATTTGCTCAAACTTGGCCAAGTAGCCGCTCATTTGCTTCCTATGGAAGTACTTTCTATTTTTTGCTGGAAAGAAAATGCCATTATGAAACTGAAGCCGTTCCACAACAGTGAAAATGACATCATCACCATCATCATCCTCTTCATCCACCGTCCTTGTAAAGTCCCCCCGCCACAGATGGGTATTTATGGTGGAGTCCAGCCTGAGAAACACTACCATTCATAGGGAATATGTGCCTTGAGGTTTTGAATCACAGTCTGTTTGAGGTCTCTTCATTAAGCCCGGTATCCTGTTGCTCACGTCAGTGGGTTTTAAAACCTATGAGCACGCAGAGCTGCTCGTCACAGCTGAGGAAGAGGAGCTCTGAGCTCCAACCTCAAAACAAACTGTGTGTGTAAAGCACCTAGTGCTAAATAGCTGCCTATTGAATGCTTGGCATGTGTCAGGCTTTTTTGTCTATGATCAGATATTTCCTTGTATAAATCTTTTGCGAAGTTCTTTATTCAACACATGATGCAAGCTGGGGAAAAAGGGTTCAACATATTTGTGTTCACACTTAACAATAAGCAGTATAGTATTAATACGTAAAGCATTATGTTGTATTCGTGTACACATTCTAATGTCTCTGATTGTTGGATGGATTTTCTTTAGTAGTGAATTGACACAGTGTCTCGTTAATGTAGACAAAATACAAATCTCCTATAGCTTAGTTGAAGTGATACCTGCCCCCGTATAAAGCTTCAATATACTAATGGGAACTTCAATAAAGGATTCCTTCACCTTTCTTTTACTTCACTCTTATTTCCTCTGCCAGAGAGGTCATTTCTTTTTGTTTGATTCTCTGTTTTCTCGCTGGATAATGGAAAAACTATTTTTAAGCAATTTTAATGAATCTTGTTTAAAGGGTGTGGCATGGGTCACAAAATCTGTCATAGCATTTTGGAACGGATCCGAATCACTGGGCGGACACACGCATTATTTTTCACTTACGGAAATGTTCCTGGCGGAGGTCTGCTCTCTTCAACTCTTTTGAGTTTTCATAGTTTTGGTGGTTATTTCGATCTATAATAACAACAGTACACTCACCACATGAGATCTGGAAATGCAGTAATGTTGAAAAAAGCCAGACTATGCACATGTCACATGTAATTGGGTGGTTATACATGTTTTAAACAAACCTCCAGGGTATGCATTTGAAAGAGAAAAAGGTAACGTTAGGATTTTGATGTCTTTCATAAATACCACTCAAAGTTAACGGAGCTGCTCTCTTTTTTATAATAGTTAGAATGAATACACTAAATGTGGCATCTTTGACTTGCCACATTTAGTGTATTCATTCTAACTATTATAAAAATGATGGCCAAAAACAAACAAAGATGAATGTTTAATCCATAACCGCTTTATAATCAATTCAAAGTTGACTACTTTCTTGCCAAACCTGGTGCTCACATTAACCACAATTCCACTGGACTGCCAATATATTTTAATAGAGTTTTTTTTATTGAGTTATTTCCTTCCTTGAAATGGAGAGAAAAAAAATACATATTTGGCCTTACTCTGCAATCGTACTGACTCGGGCTGTCCTCAACTAAAGGAATTCAGTCAACTAACAATCATACGACTAACCAACTCGTTGATTTATTGAAAGATGTGTAAAACTGAGTTTCTCCACATTGCACCGTGCAAAAGAGCCACTTTTTGACCAATTAGACAATTCACTTCTTAAGTCCCTTAATATTGACCGTGGCAAACAGCTGCTGCCAAGGGACAGAGAAAGACAATGTGATGCTAATTAGGAACTCATTGGTTCACAAAAACAACCAAACTTCTGTTCATAATTTGAAAATACAATATGAAAATGGCACAGCAGGTCGATTGGGTTTATTTATATGATCCTCACCCTGCCCCACAGACTCATTATACGTTAATCATTAGATCACACCTGTAAAACCGTCTCAAAGAACAAAGGACTATTGTGAGCTAATCTGGACATCTGAATGTGCAATCATACATACCAGAGCTTCAAAAAGACCTTTAAACATTAAAGATATAATCATTACACTAAAGCATGTTGGACTAATGCACTTTCATGCTTTTGACGAAACGGAAACTAAGATAGGATTTTATGATTACGCTTCACGATGTGGATATCTCTACAACCACATCATTAGTTTACTCATGTATATGATGCATGCATGCACAAAGCTAAAATATTCTCAAGGTAAACAGAGTGACACACTTCAAACTGAAACACAGACATGGGCTGTATTTTCCTTTCACTCACTCACTCACACGTGTGCTCTAGTCTATAGAAAATGAAGCAGCTATTGGTTTACCAGTGTTGCTGTTATCCTATTACAGGACAGAGGGTGAAAGCTGTCATCTGTGTGTGATATCTGAACGTCTAAACTAAGGGAAGTGTGTCTCACACACAGTGAATGCGAGTACACACATACTGTTAACAAAGTGGCATGTGTTCACACCTCTTCATTCCTGGTCTTGTATTTCACTCTGAGCGTTTACAAAACATTACATCTACAGATTGAGGAGGCGGGGCTGGTGCATGTTTGGTTTTATACACTTTGGGATCAGGTTTGGGGTCGTGAGGTTGTCATTGTTAAGACTGGAAAGGGCCCAAAGTCCTGAGCATCTGCAGAGGACAGATTGAGTCCAAACGGTCTCTCTGCTCATAGCTTAGGGCCAGACGATGCTTAAGTTACCGATATCGCGACACCAGTAAGTCAACTTTGAACTCCCCCTCTTCTAGCGCCAAGCCTTGGTAAGCCAGAGAGAGGAGTGGCTGGTAGTGTACGCGTTTTATGAGTTATGAGGTGATTAAAAGACAGCCTGTAGGTGAGGAATAGGTGCATATGTAGGCTTTGCACGTCCATAGACAAGTACAGACCCACCAAAGACCTGTGGCATAGCAAAGCAGATGTACAGTATATCTTTTAAAGTCATATCTGTGTTTTCAGTTTAGTTTTATGACTGTTTTTACAGCCCCCTTATTGCGGTTTCTGCTGCGAGTCACGGACTAAAATAGATTTCACTCTGACAAAAAGGACAGTTTTTTTTCTGGCAGCCATAAAGCATTTCAAAAGAGCCTTGTAAATTAAACCCTGTCTGTTAAATGGGCCTTTTATGTGTTCTGATCAGCAAGAAGTTAGTGTAAAAATAGCCTGAATAGTGGATTCGTCATCAGCTCTGGGAGACAGGCCGCCCTGCTGTGTACCTGCTGAAGACGCAGCTGAGAGGGAGCTTGCTATCTGCCTCATTACAACCGTATTACACCCTGCTGTAGATGTGACAAGATGTCTCAGCTTTCTGCCCTGAAGCCTCCGCCTCCGGTCTTGTAAGCCTCAGCAGAACATGAACGCTGATTATATCGACCCAGATGTGCATGTTCTTTACTGAGCATTGCACTGACTGCTTGATGCTTTTAGTATGTATCGTTTGAATGTAGACATTTTAAGTGAGGTTTGTTTCTCTTGTGCCTTTGTTGGTGTCCTTATTTGCTGGTTATCATGTCAAGCTTCTATAAGGAAGTTACCTTGATAGATGATGATCATCAGTAGTGGCTATTTTATGATATAAAACTAAATATCTTTGGGATTTGGACTGTTTGTCACACATAATATTACATTTAGTATTGGGCTCTGTTTTGCGACAGGAATTTCTATTATTTTCTGCCACTAAATACTAATAGACAATTGTTATTCAAAATAATTGAGAAAGTAATCTGATGGTGAAAATAAGTTATTGTTGTGCTGTTTTAGTATAGAGACGATAACGTTTTTTTTAAATGTTGTTTATTGAGGCAATGCAAACATTATTTTGTTTGCCCTGACAAGAATGAACCATGACAAGTTTACTTTGTGAATCCTTCAGATTGAGCTGAATGAGGTTAAATGGAGCTCCTCTTCAGGTGGGGAAACATTCCTGTGTGACAGCATGGGGCTCTGTGATGGCCTCGGGGTAGAAGTTGAGAGGTGCAGGAGTAAACTGAGACACCGGGAGTCACAATCCTCCCGTGCCTTTCTGCTCCTCTGAGATTCTCCTTCTTTCTTTTTTTTTTGTCTTAAAGAAGATTATCCGTCGTTCTCTGCTCAGCTTCTTTGCAGCCGGCAGAGCTGCAGCCATACCTGCATCACTTCGCTCACTGTGATGTCACTCTGTTTGCATCATATTTATTTAGCCATCATCACAAAGGCCTGCGGGCTGCCACATAAAAACATAGCAATGACATAGAGAGAATGATGTCATTGCTTCAAGGACATGTTTTAGGGGGCGTTTGATTTCTAAGAAAACAGCATGTTTTGATGTTCCCCCTGTTGTCCTGCTTTTTCCTATTTCCATTGCCCACTTACTGGCTTGCTCTCTCTGTGTTGTTATTTTGGTCCATTTCTGTACGTTAACATCTTGTCCATCAACCTCCTCTTCCTCCACTAATTCATAAGTAATGACCATGCAGCAGCAGGCAGAGCAGCAGGCAGAGCAGCGGAGCAGACATGCCGGCTGGCCAGGCCTCGTCCCAGCGGACCAGAGCCACTTATCTCTCACAATAATGACATATGCATCGACTGGCTTTAAGAAAGTGGCTTCCCAGTATTTGGGAAGTCTCCCACGTTTCTTTTCGCCGCTATAATTGACTGTCTTAACGAACAACATATTTCATGCATACGAAGTCATTTGCTTGCCAAAAAAATATGAATCAAGGATAACACTGACATCCAAAGTAAAACTGACATTACAACAAAAACATATTTACAATCATGATTCATGAGTGTGGATATTGTCATTATCAACACCTCATCTAATCAAACTACTCATACAAAACGTATACATCCTTTCCTTTAATGCGTGTTTTTTCCGAGGAAGCATTTTTCTCGGCTTTGGCTGCTCACATTTTGCAACATCGATCTCATCTACGGTTACTTAATACTGGAAAGAAACAGTATCGCCACCTATAAAAAGCCCTATCACCATCAGTTCAGTTCTTCTTTATAGTCCCATAGGGGAAATCGGACTTGCAGCAGAGCACAAATAAACAGTAACAGAAAACATGTAACAAGAAAAGAAGAGAAAAAAACTTTCAAAGATGAATTTGTAGGCTTTTTGCAGTGCTGCAGTCCTAAATGTTTGCAGGAAAATGCCTAAATGCAAGGTTACCTTTTGTGCAAATTAAGCATGTTTTTTGCACTAGGACTGTGAGAGATGATTCTCCTTGACTGACCTCTCCTCCCCCTCTCCTCCCTCCTCTCTCAGATGACATGGCGTCCTCAGTACCGCAGCTCCAAGTTCCGCCACGTGTTCGGTAAGCCCGCCGTCAAGGATAGCTGCTATGACGGCGTGCCAATCACACGCAGCGTCCAGGACAACAACTTCTGTGCCGTCAACCCACGTTTCCTGGCAGTCATCACTGAGTGCGCCGGGGGAGGGGCTTTCCTGGTCTTGTCCGTCCATCATGTGAGTATCTCCATCTCATGGCAGCTTTTACTCACTGATGTCAGCTTGTTAAAGGAGCACTTAGGATGCTGATAATGGATACTGTGATGTGTTTTTTAGATATGTGTCCTGAAGGGAGACATTTGTTTTTGCTATGAGGGTAGAAAAAAGCAAGGAATAGTCTAAATATAGACATTTAAGCAATAGATGGACATTTCTCTAGTTGAAAAACAGCTGACTTTAGAAGATAAACTTTACAATCTAAGGCAATCAAAGACAACAGCTTTGCCATGAATTGTGCTTTTGCAAAGCTTTCGAAAATGCAATATGTATTGACACCGTCAGAAAGTTGGTAATGTTTATCATTGAGGTTGTAATGGAAGGTGTTGTGCTATAATGCATTATGTTAAAAGGTGAACTGAAAATACCTCCGCAAACAAGAATTACCTTTACATTCCTTCATACAAAATTCCCCTGAATAGTTACCTGATCCAGCTCGAGGCAAATTGGTTCATGTTACCTGTAGTTCATCATAGTTATTATACTGCTTAATGTTTCAACTAGCTTCCTAGCAAGCTTAAAACAGGAGACATCAGGAAAATCAACATAAAACATTTCCCCATAACTGAAATTAGCTTTGACCAAAAGTTGGGAAGTTTCAGAAAAAAGTGTAGCAATGGAATTTCACATTAGAAATTATTATGTTGAGAACATTATTACCTCGGCCAAGGAGGTCGTGTTTTTGGTTTGGTTTGACTTTTTGTAAACAGGATTACGGAATAAACTACGATTGTAATTTTCATGAAACTGGGTCATGGAAGAAACAATACAATTATCGAACGGACCATAATCACAGGGAGGTATAACAAATGTTTTTCCCTTTCGTTAACATTGCGAGATACTGCGTTTGGTCTTAGCAGGGATCTCAGGTCTCTGCTTTTCTACTTAAAATAACTTTTTCTCTTTGGTAAAAAGTAGAAGAACAATTCCTCTGCTGAGTGTTCAACATCTCTCATGGTTTCTCTTTGCTCGTGCACAAACGGTACACCTGGGAAAGAAAGATTTGCTATCAGATTATAAATAGGACAGCAGCAGTGGAGCCAAAGCAAATACCAGGAAACCCCCGGCAGCTGATTAACTTCAACCTAAACATTGCATGTGGTCTTCTTTTTCCTCCTCATTATTCTGCCTTATCTCCCCCACCAACTTCACCTTAAACGTGATAAATCAAACACTCTCCATGACGTTATTTATGCATATTACCACATCCACCAGTGTTATCAGCAACAACAGTGATCCTTCAAATAAACTCAGCCAGACTTCCTTATTGTGTGCCGGTAAAATGTACAGTCCTGCTGTATGTCTCCAGCCGAGAGCGATTTATCAAGCTCCCTCCCTTCTCCCTCTCTCTGTCTGTGTCCAACTTTAAAATTATCTTTGACTTATCACCAGCCTCCTAGCTTGGGCAGGAATTGCATACGTGCTCAGGAATGACATAACTCATCGTTTGACCTCCCTCTTCCCTTTCTTTCACCATCTCGAGGAGGTGAAACTTCCCCCCTCTGCCGCCCTTCACCTCCCATCTTTGTGTGTGAGCTCACAGATAAACTATCGTTCTGTGGAGAAAGTAGTTAAAACATAAACACAAGAACAGTGCTTCTATGTTCTACTTTCTTGTGCATATGTTAGGTTTGCTGGAAAGCACAGGTAGTGGTTACATCATCCCCATGCAGACACACCTTACCTACACAGTAATCAAGCCTGCAGGTGTGTTTGAGTGTGTGTGTCAGTAGGAAGGTTCTGTTCGTACAAACTGCATAATTAGCAGACTTGTCCAGGCAGAAAATCTTCAGCAGAACTCTCTGACTTTTCCCTTGTAACAGGATCATGAAATACCAGGGCGTGTGTCATTTTGTGTAGCTCTACCTGTAGTTTGAATACTTTCATTTAAATGTCATGAAGAGTTTGACTGCTCTGTAGCTTGTACTCATATGTGAAGATCTTGTCCTGTTAAGATATTTAGAAATTAGCTTGCTACCTGTCTTTAAATCTGCACTAATAAATATGTTTTATATTAAAGGGAAACTCGGCCTATTTGGTCAGTCAGTTTACAGGTCTTAGGCTTGAATTTCGATAAATTACCTCAAGGGACGTCATTTGAGTCTACATTGTTTGTACATTGTCTTATTCTAAAGTCTACAAGTTTGAAACCCCCCTAAAATCTTCACGGAGGTAGTGGTGAGCTTACATGACCTTTTTAGTCCACTCCTCCTACAGGCTACATTAGCTGCTACTAGCATTACACACCTGAATATCTCCCTGTTTGTGGTTGAGTTGCATTATGGTTAATGTAGGAACCAGGTTTTGACAAGGAATAAGACCATTTCTCCTGATTTCTATACATGTGTCCAACAAACGCGGACAGTATGTAGGCAGAGGTAGCAGCCGATTTGAATAGTTAGCATAAAGTGGCCAGGAATCTATCCAAGGCTGGCCAAAATATAATCTGTAACAGGTTAACTCATTGTTTTACACTTTTTTGTACAGATTTAACAAAGAATATACAGTATAATGTGCTTTTTGAGCTTAACATGAGCTGGTGATCTAGCGCTTTCCCCCTGCTTCCAGTCTTAATACTGAACTAGCTAGCTACATATTTACTGTACATAAATGAAAGTGTCTATTGCAATAAATCATAGAGCATTTTTATCAGAATGTCAGACTAACTCAATGATATAAATGTTTTATATTTCAGTTTTTTATCCTCTTTTGTTCGTTTGTTTATCAGACAGGTAAAGTGGATCCTCACCAACCCCGAATATCGGGCCACAAAGGAAATGTGTTAGACGTCAAATGGAATCCATTCAACGACTACTGCATCGCCTCCTGTTCTGAGGACACCACGGTTTGTACAAACACACCCACCTAAAGTACAAATAGTTCATTGATGTGTTATCATTTTCATTCATTATGAGCGTGTAGCAGCAGGGAGATCATTTTATTGCCTTTCTGTTTAGCCTTCAAGAAGTCATTCCTCACATTCCTCAGCCATGACTTGGCTCAGAAGAAATCAATGTACAAAGAAAGAGAGAGAAGAGTGATATAAGACCATTTCTTTAAAGTAATTTATTTCTCGTATCCAGTGGACCCTCAATTATTTATTGAACCGTTATTTGTCATAGATTTAGACATATTGATTTTTGTTCGTTTGTGATTTCTCTTACAGTGGTGTATTCAAAGCCTTCACTAAAAAGTGCTGATGCCACTCTGTAAAAATGCATTGGAAATTAACTAAATGTATGTCAAAACTATCTAAAAAAAAATGCACTTAAAGTTAAAGGTGGGGTATGTAAGTTTGAGAAACCGGCTTGAGATCGCTAGAATTTGAAAATACACAGCCGGAAAAAATCTGCCACTTCCTTACAGAGCCCCTCCTCCAACACACACGAACGCGCACATGACCAATGAGGGCACGAGATAAGTTTGTGCACAGATGGAAGGCTGACAGGCAGGTAGGCCATCCAGTTACTTTAGCCGGGCCGGCTAAAATGATTGGTCGTGCTTTTTACAGTACTACGGCTTCTACAGATGACATTTCTTTATGGATTTTTTGTCAAAGCACTTAAGATATTCATTGCTATCGGGATGTTAAGAGCATTCCATGGAATATAACAAAAAGTGTATCTCGAGCCGGTTTCTCAAACTTACCTACCCCACCTTTAAGTAAAAGTACTCATCATTACTGATACAAGCATTCATGTAAAAGCTGAATTTTATGGTTGCAGTCGGTTGAATTTTTTTTCTGCCGTTTCGCCTTTATCAAATCAATGAGACAGGGAAAGAGAGAAAGGAGAAATGGCGCTTAATTGTACAAAATTGTAAATTATTATTCAAATAAATAATAATAGCAAACTTGAGAAGCTGGAAGCATTACATTTTTGCACATCAATCAAAAAGAATGTTTTTTTATATTGGCTTATGAACAAATCAACTAGTCAATTCAGGTGTACTGTGATAGTTTAATTTCTGACAGAACATCATATTTCATGAGGTCTTGATGATGTTGTTTTGGGTGTGTCTGCAGGTGAAAGTGTGGGAAATCCCTCCTCATGGCGTGCTGAAGAACCTCACAGTCCCGTGGAAGGAGCTCCAGGGTCACAGCCGCAGAGTGGGCCTCATCGAGTGGCACCCCACTGCTAACAACATCCTCTTCAGTACGGCCTATGACTACAAGGTAATGCAAACACACAGAAGTTAACCCTAACTCTGCCCAAAAACTGAACTCAAACAAGCTACTGTGACATATACTGTAAGCAAGTGTGCATATCAATGCAGTCAAACAGGTCACAGATCTATCAGCCCAGTTCTTTTTATCTGATCATGATAAAGACAAAGATTGCTGACAGTAACACTGCAATCTACAGTACAAAGCTTCACAATCGCTTTATAAGTGACAGCAGCATTTCAGGAATGTTCACTAAATGTACTGTCTTTCTGCTGCAATCAGAAATGGGACAAGTCTCATGACCGAGTCTAAATAAAGAACACTAAGTCAAATGTATGGCAGTGTCAACTCTCAAGGCACCAGTAGGCTTTAAAATAACCTTCATGTAAAAAAAAAAAGGGATTATTGTCTGAAATTATATGTATATATAATATAAGATATATTGCATCTACCCCTCTTTATAATAGCAGTGTCTCCCCCATGCCTTTTTAAATGTGAAAACCCCTTTTAAACATTGTTAAGACATGATGAGAAATCCCTTCATATCAACCAGTTGGCTTAACATTTTAATATAGAGAACCAAAGGAAGTTGAGTCAGGACACATAGGAGTGATTAACTACTATTACAGTCAAATAAGACAAAATATGTCAGTCTTTTATTTTGTTGAAAGAAATGCATTAATTCGTCAGATAAAAGTTGCAATCTGTCTGATTTTGTTATCTTCAATAAGTGAATGTCCCACAAAATGTTCAAGCCCTTGCCTTCAACTCTTCTAGGTGATGATCTGGAACCTGGACTGTCCAGAGCAGGTGATCAAAAACCCCGTACGGACAATCAGCCACCACACAGACGTCGTCCTCTCTCTGTCTTTCAACACGGACGGCAGCCTCTTCGCCACCACCTGCAAGGACAGGAAGGTCCGAATCATAGAGCCGCGCTCAGGAAACCTACTGCAGGTCAGACTGTTTCAATACATAACATATAATCCTGCAATTACATTTGAGAATGCTCTTATTTGTAAAGGCTGCTGCTTCAGTATGTGCCAGCTTATCTTATCTGAAACTTGTACAAACACAGGTATTTCTCTGTGTTTATTTAAGATATATTAAAAGTTTGAAAAGCTATTTTGAAAAAACATACATTTGCAGCTCAAAAAGTTCACATCACTTTTATTAGAAGCCTTTTTGGAGATGCACCCTTAAGTTTAGTTGTTGTTTACATTAGACTCCCAGCAACTGAAATTGCATGAGAGTGAGTTTCTTGCTCCTCTCCGTCTTCCCAGCTCAGGCTCTCATCCAGCACCACACAGCCAAAACTCACACCTCCGGCCCGATCAGGCCGACAGCATAACTCCACAGACCTTTGGGTCACCAGCCAATGACTCACACTCACATCAGTCCGCTCTCACTACCTTCCCCTGCCAAATAACCTCACGTGGACACATACATAACATTACATCACAATTCTGTCCTGTGAAACGTCATTATTAGTGTATACCTTTTAACCCTCCTGTTGTCTTCGGGTCAAATCTGACCGATTTACTACTTTCATCAATCATAACTTTTTTGTTTTAGATTCGATTGCATTAAGGCTTTATGATATCCTTCACAGTAGACATTTGAACATATACAATAGCTGATCACCACTTTCATTGAATTTAGGATGATTTAGTCAACTTTGTAAGACCCATGGTGTTCCCGGTCAAAAATGACCGCCATAAAGAAAAGGAATTAGTAACCATCCGGATCAGATAAAACACACGCGCACACACACACACACACACACACACACACACACACACACACACACACACACACACACACACACATGCGCACACACACACACACACACACACACGCACACACGCACACGCACACGCACACGCACACGCACACGCACACGCACACGCACACGCACACACACACACTGTAGATGTGTCCGTCCCCCTTTATGTGCCCATCCCCCCACATGGATCACACCTGGCACACGCAATACTTGTTCAGTGTCTATTCTTTGTATATTTACTGCAGTTTTTCATGTATACCAGTAGTCTGATACAATATTTACAGTTTGAAAGGGTGTTAAATGAAATTTGGTGATGATTAATGGTTTTTGTGTTAATGTAATAGCAGTTCAAACAGGACCGGCCAAATTTGACCGCGAACACCAAAGTAAGGGGGAGAAAACGAAGACAATAGGAGGGTTAATATAACTTAAGAAAACCTGTTTATACCAAATGTTTAAGATAAGATAAGATGGACCTTTATTAATACCCGAGGGGAAATTCAGGAGTTTAAACATAGTATGAGTTGTTTGATGTATGTTGTGTTTGCAGGAAGCCAACTGTAAGACGCACAAAGCCAGCAAGGTGCTGTTCCTGGGAAACCTGAAGATGCTCTTCACATCGGGAACTTCTCGCTGGAACGACCGACAGTTTGCTCTTTGGGATCAGGTGAGAGCTACAGGAAGTGTTTTCTGACAAATCCTCTCATTTCAGGTCCACTTATGCTCTTACAAGGCACTCCTATGCATTATGGGGTCTTAATTAGCTAATTGTAAGCTGGATCAGGTTTCAATATGTGGAGTGAATGCCATGTGATGACACCTACAATCACTTATCATCAGTTGACTGTCGTTCAACACTCAGGTTGTGTGGCGACACCTGAACCACCTCCATTCACCGACGATGATGATCTGACACTCTGTGGACCTTTGAGTTTAGATCCTTTTGTCACACATGCTGTTCCCATCCTCAAGAATTAACTAGATATGGTAGCTTCAAGTTATTTTATTTTATTAGTTCATGTTTCAACCTTCTTGGGCTAAAAAGAGTTGCTAAAAAGAGTTCTTCTGAGTATCCCAGGTTTTTTTTATATATATTTTTTCACAACAATTCAATAATTTGCAGTCAAAGTAGGGTTATTGACATTCATTACTTACTGAATGTGTTTCCTGTTCTTTTTATTCATCTCCAACATATTTATTTTAATATATAAAAGGGTTTGCACTAAACTTTAAAAGATATATAAATTTACATCATCAATTTAATTAGCCAATTGTCTTTCTAAATTCATTGGTTACCCGTTTAGTCAATAAAACAACAATGACAAAGATATATAAAAAGTGTATTGTTTTTTCCATAATGTTGCACACAAAAAGCACATGAAACGAACTGCAGTCGTTATTAAAAGGTTTGCAAATTGCTGGAAACCTTTGGGACAATGTAAGAACAAAATGTAACAAAATGCATATCATAGGTCTAGTTGGTTTTTACACCTTTCAAAGTGTAAAAGTTACATGTTAAACCTTCAAGACAAAAAGACGTGAGGAAAGTTGAATATTTTTGACCTAATAATCTTTGGGAAATGTACCTTACCAACTCATGGTTCATCTGTGTGAATCAAATTCTCTCACTGTAGAAAAAAAACCATTTAGCATCGTTTCATCCTAATGGTGTAATCTCATGGCTAAAACAATACTGAAAATGAAGTTGAAACTCTCTCACAAACACATCTCTGCCATCTAGTGGAGAAACATGTGGATTTCGCTGTGTTTTGAGAGAGTGTATCGTGGGTGGAAGATTAAAGCTGAAGCACGGATTAGGGATTGAGCACTCAGGCTTTTTAATTCAGCGCTGTAGAGTGTTCTTATGTAGAAGTGGATTTAAATGAGTGTTTTAATATTAGGGAATGTTGTCCATGTTCATTTTTTCATTTTATGTTTGTTTTCAGGATGATTTGTCTGTGCCTTTGCTAGAGGAGAACCTGGATGGTTCTTCAGGAGTCCTTTTTCCTTTCTACGACCCCGACACTCACATGCTCTACCTTGCTGGAAAGGTGGGTCTCTGACAGCAACTACAAAGTGTTAATACACAAATTACTTTTAATCACATTGTTATAAAGACTCCTCTTGTCTCTGTCAGGGTGACGGAAATATGAGGTACTATGAGATCGGCTCGGAAAAACCTTACATCCACTACCTAACAGAGTACCGCTCACACCAACCTCAGAAAGGAATGGGTAAGAAACACACAGATACACAAATATAAATACACACACAGAGAGGTGCTATACATTTAAACTGAAACCCAGTATGTTGGAAGTCAAATTGTCCATACATAGTGTGTCAAATGTGGTTGTTTTTTAAACTATGCATGCCTTCTGGGCCTCCTGACTCTCTTCCACCTGTAAGCAAAGCTATTGTGCAAATAAGCCGGCGATATTTGAATAGCCAAACCAGCTGATCAGGTGAAGTGATATGAAGACAGACATGCACTCAAGGTTTAGACTTGAAAACTCAAGAGATATTTTTTAATGAAAGAACTCTAGTTTGGGATTTTGCAAATATATTTTGTTATGGTACTAAACAGCAACCGTTCTTTGATATCAATTTACAGAGATATAAGCACAATGTAGACCTTTCACAGTCTTAGAGTACTATATATATCATACCCTATATTTCAGACGTTAAGATGATATTCAGGATGAAAGCTCTGTGGTAAAAATAATGTCGTTTTACCTGAAGCTTTACAAATATGGGTTTCCCCTTTGAACTTGTTTAAAGTCTTAGATTCTCTACCTCTTTCTTTCCTTTTTCTACTTGCCCTTTTAATTTTTAACTTAATGAGCATTGTTAAAGGGTGCCAGAGATCCAAGACTGTCATCCCCAACGATGGCTTAACTGTAATTCATTTCATTTCAAACCTTTATTTATCCAGGTGTATCCCATTGAGATCATTGATCTCTTTTTCAAGGGAGACCTGCTCAAATTGTTGTGTGTATGACAATAAAAAAACTTGAAAGCAGCAGAAATGTAATAAATCCTAAAGAAACGCATGCCAGATTCATTATAAGGGTCTAAGGATTAAAACGCTATGGACCTTTTTCTATTGTGTGTGTCCTTAATAAAGTCATTACTGTTATTAAGTTGAGTGGGTGTTAAAAGCCTATCATTTTTGTTCTGCACACGGCCCCTTGGCCTGTGCTCCGGGTGGGTACCACGTTGCCACATTTTATTTTTTCATCTCAATACTAACATACATGTGTACTTGCAAAACGTTTTTACCTTTTGTATTTTCAAAATGAGCATTACATTCATTCTTGTCAAGCCATAATGTATTTACAGTATATGGTTTTTTTCCGTAGTTATGTTTTGTCTTGGTTTTTATCACACCTTTTACCAAATCTCCATTTTAGTGTTCAGTTAATAACCGTCAACTGAATATAACAAGATATACTATACATATATTAAAGCTCAGTAGTGCAGCTCTAAAAGTAAAACTGTCTGTGTGTCTTCCTTCAGGTGTGATGCCTAAGAGAGGTCTGGACGTGAGCTCCTGTGAGGTTTTCAGGTTCTACAAACTGGTGACAACCAAGAGTCTCATCGAGCCTCTCTCCATGATCGTCCCCCGCAGGGTGAGAGCACAGCGTCTCACACAAACCACAAACACCAGGGAGATATACAAAATAAATACTCAATTTTGAACTAAATCGAATACGGAGAGCTAATCTGAATGTGTGTGTGTTTGTAGTCGGAGTCATACCAAGATGACATCTATCCGATGACGGCTGGCAACAGGCCGGCTCTGTCTGCAGAGGAGTGGCTCAGCGGCATCGATAAAGGTCAGACTTAATGTGTGTGTGTGACATTTGTGTATGATGGCGAGGTGCTGCGTGATTTACAGATGTGGTGGTGAACTGCTCCAAACTCAATTGTAACCGGGGTCCAAACATGCCTATAAAGATCAGGAAATAAAGGTAGGGCTGGGTTTAGTCAAGATCGCCATGTTGAGAAGAGTACTTCTCTGGTATTGAGATAGAAAACGTATCCAATACGTAAGACATATACATTTTAATTCAATTTGACTTATTTCTTATTTTTATTTTGAGATCACGGCAATCATGATACAATGGTTACTATGACAACATTTATGGATTGCTTAGCCATAGTTGCATTGCAAAGTTTTTCGCTATAGCATAGGTGTATTTTGAGTCACTTTTCCACTGTTTATAGTCCTTTGGTACCGTATTTAATAATAATAATAATAATAATACATGTGATTTATGAAGCACTTTTCCTGGTGCTCAAAGCGCTTAAACATTTAATAATGGTTCTTCCTTAAAGTGGTGGGAGAAGTAGTAAGATCCTTTACTTTGGCATTTAAAGCAAAAGTTCATCAGCAAATCTAGTATTTGAGCTGGTCAACGTACGGGAGATTGGTCTTACTTTTCATACTCACCTGTAGTTTAATCAGAATATTTCTTCTAACAAATCACACTGAATAAACTAAATGTTATTTCACCATCATTCAGCTCATCTTCCTCCTCTCTTCCTTCTCCATCTCTCTTTGCTATCTAGGTCCGGTGCTGATGTCTCTGAAGCCTGGAAGTCAAATAGCAGAGTCGTACTCGGAGATGGGTAAGGGGCTGGGAAACACACTGGACACGCGGCGGTCTCACAGCAGACCAGGCATGCTGCAGCTGGCCTACATTCAGGACAAACTGGAGACCAAAGAGGGAAAGGAGGACGGCGGCAACACAGAGGAGGAGAGGAGCTGGACGCCCGTCAGCAACGGAGAAGACTACGGACTCTGCTCTCCACCCAAGTCAGAGAATGAGGTACGGGGGGGATTTTGAGTTTATATCCTACTGTTTTTGCAATTATTTAGTTTGCAAAGGCAGAGACGTTGTGTGCTTTCCAGAAGACCAATAGAAGAATTAGAGATGAGCCTAAACTTTTGCATTGTCAATCCATCCTCCTGAATCCTGAAAGGTTTTATTTAGAGGCATCTAACCACAACATTTTAATGGAACAAAATAATTATACATGACAGGACATTCAAACCAAATAATAAATCAAACGGAGACATCACTTTGAATGATGTTGAGTTCATCAGTAAGTTGTGTAAAATATGAGCAAAATCATCATCAGTTAAAGTATGAATTATACAATTTCCCCCTCTCATCATGCAAACGATGCGGTGTCGTTTTCTGAGTCCGGTCAGGCTGTGTAAACAGTTTCCACCAATCAGAGCAGGGCATTGGTCTCTGTGCAGCCTGAAAGGCAAAACCTTGTCTAAAAAAGGTCCAGTAAGTCCCAGCTGCTGCTCAAAAAGCTTAAGGATAAGGCTGCGGATGCTCTATATTTTTGTTATTGACAATAAATCCCATGAAAATGCCAAAATCAACATTCAAGTAATCCTACTTAGGGATTGAACTGAAATATCTTATTCCTCAGCGCACAAACATATACATGTACAGCAGATATGTAGTTGTATTACAATATCATACTGTTTGAGTACCCAGCAGTTTAAGGAATCAACCTTTTTCCTTCTCTTACATTTTAAACTATATATTTTTCAACAGTAATCAATGCCACTGACAGGTTTGGGGAGTCAGAAAGTATTAGTAGAGATGGACTAACCAAATAGATGGTACAATTAGAATACCATCAGCTTTACCCTCAAAGATTTTGCTTTGAGTTTTCTGAAATAATTCAAAGTGACCTACATTAACATGTCAACATCATCCAGATTATGGCAGCTGGACGGTTAGAGAGATTTTAATAAGGAAATCAAAATGGAACGGCAACTCCAATGTATGGAGGACTAAAGCTGCCATTATAACAAATAAAGAAATAAGCCGAAAAAAAGATAAGATAAGATAAAAAACCACAATTAAAAAAATATATACATAAAATGTTTTTTTATCTGGCAAATTACTTATTTGTATAAGATGTAATTAATAAACAAATGTATATGTTTCAGTCCGTATTTATTTTTGTTCCGTATTTATCCTTATTTATTTTTTATTGGATTTTTGGTATATTTTTGCCCATATTTAAATGAGGGTTCATTAACCTTTGACTTAAAGGTCCCATGTCATGCTTTTCTGGTTATTACCCGTCCCCTTGTGTGTTATGTAGCTTTTTATGCATGTAAATGGTCTGTAGAGTCACAAACTCTCAAAGTACACCCTGTAGCGAGTAAAACTCTTAACACAGAAAAGACCTGTCTATGCTGCCCCAGAACGCCTCGTTGGAGATTTCTCTTTTTCCATTGTTTACTTCTTGGGTGAAGTGACGTATTTCGGGTATAGTGACGTAACGTAACGGCTCCGCAGATTGGTCCAAATTGACCAATCCGTGGAGCCGTTACGCTACATCCGCGGAGCCGTTACGTTTGGACCAATCCGCGGACTTCCTCACACACACACACACTCGGCGGGACGTTGCGAGGCTCGCTGCTGCGATGAGCGGGACACTGTGAGCTGGCTCACTGGTGTGGGGTCGGCGAGACAGCGAGACACCACGGAACTCAGCCTGGGAACACACACAAACTCCCAGCCAGGCTGCGGGTGTGTGTGTGTGTGTGTGCCCAGGCTGAGTTTCGCGCTGTCTCGCAGACGGCCACTGGGCTCACAGGGAGGGGGGGGCAGGAGCTTCAACAAGCCGTTTAGGACAGAGAGTGAATACACATACTATACAGAGATGCTGTATGAGAAACCAATGTGAGTTTGGAAAATTGCACAATATAAATGTATTTTAGTATTCCTCAACAATGGAATTATGATCAGTAGAAATGGCCATGACATGGGACCTTTAACACCCTATTAATTATCAAATAAACCTGCACATTTATTTGATAATTAAGGCTTTTAATTCTAAGTTTGTTTCTTCATATTTATACTATTATTTTTTTAATGGCAGCTTCAGTCCTCCATATAGAAGTAGATATATTCCAATGTATTGTGCTTGTGTTTTGTCTACAGCTGCGTCTGAAGTTCCACAAGCAGCAGGAGGAGATCAGACGGTTGCGGGAGCTTCTCAACCAGAGAGACGTACACGTCACACAGCTGGAGCTGGAGATAAAGAACATGAAAAACTCCCAGCCTCACCAGGGCTCACTTTGAGACTTGCCCCCCCCCCACAGAGTCACTTTCACCCCCTCATGGACCACATGCATTACTGTACAAACGCACTAACCCCATCTTCAAACCACCGCACCTCTGCCCTTTCTCACTCACTGCACAGGGGGGATTTACACCTCTACTTTAGGTTTCCTTTCTGTCTGTTCCTCACACGGTGCACATATTTTCTGTTCATGCACACACACTCAGACAGTGACTCTCACCCAGCTGTAATACAAAGTGAAACTCTTTGCACCTGTTGACTTTTACCCTGTTTCTTTTGTACGCTTCACAGCTATGCAAGTTTATTGTAATTTTTAGCTTTTCTATGCTGTTTGTAGCTGAAAAATAAAAAGGTTGTCTGTGCCTGTCTTGACTGAATGATGTGGCTGCCTGATGTTTGAAAGTTGTTGCAGGGCAGGACCAGACGTGGTGTGATTGTACGATAACGCTACATTTTATTTTTTATGCTTGGTGATTGTTTTTTTTCTTCCAATATTTAAACTACTGTAAGTGGAGATGGCTGTGGTGTTTTAATGTATGTTTGCTTGGAAGGAGCGCGATCTAAATGAATGCCGATATCATGATCCTCGCTGTGTTTCGTTGAGCTGCATATTTTTTATGTTTTTTTGTTTTTTTAATGACTGGAAAATTGGTGAATAATTAATCTGTTTCACAGCAGCTATTGTGTAAGCCATGTCTGTAACTGATGCCATGTACCAGTTCTTAATTTTTATATTTATTTTAAAAATACAGTCAAAGAAAAAATACAATCAAATCGAGTTCTTGAATTCACAATTGTAATGTTGCAATATACAGCATGCAAACTGTTTTTAAAAAGACTGAAAGATCGCTTTCATTTTTCCTGATGTGGAATCACTGTGAGAAAACTTTAAAGCCATCGTAGCTCCGGAGCCCTGCACCACTTCTGGGTTTGTTTTCCTCCAGATTTCAGCTCTGAATGTATTTTCCTAAATAGGGTGTCTTTTTTTTGCTCTCTGTAAAAAAAAATGAAACATATCACTGGGGTTTATTAGTCATGTTTAAGCTGAAAGAGTATCTAATACTGTAAGTGGATAGTCAAATCGGAGCATCCCAATGCTCTAATAAGTAATAATGCAAGTTAAGGTGGGAAATAAATATATGTTATAAGATAATGACATTTTTACCTTGTACACCATTGTGGCAATTCCTCTAACATCTCAGTCATTAAATCACGTTTTTTTTATTTGTCAATTCTTTAATTCACTGGCTTAGACAAAAACTGTGTTTTTATTCATATTTGGTTTCTCAGTATCCAATTATAGATATACACACCGATATTAAATTGCAAGAAAGATACATTTATACGATTTTGTTTACATGAATTACTCTTAACCAGGATGTATAGTTATTGACAAAATTGAGCTTTATAGTTGATTTGCAGCTCAATCTAGAACACTGACAGCTATGAACTGTTTTAATTTGTATATTTAGTTTGTAAGTAAATGGATGTTGAGTGAGATGATATTTATTATTATATAGTATATATAATTACTCTGGTCAACTGCTGTTTCTATGTCAATAATGAATTGTCAAGCTCAAATTTAGGCCAACCGGGACGATGAATACTAATACAGGTACGTGGATTTTATTTATTATTTATTTGTAAATGAAATATTGCCAGTATGATGAGTTGAAATACTAAATCTGGAATTGAAGAGAAATGAACTCAACTGGAAGACAGGTATGTATCTTTTAAAGGGAATATTTTACTAACATGTGACAGGAAACTCATCAATACTTTTAGAGGCTTAGATATGATAATCTGTTAATACAACTGCAAAGACTTAAATCTTTAAAACATACACAAATGTACACGAGTAAGTAAAGTCCACCTTAATGTCATATCTAAACGTGTTTTCCTTCAGGTAACCTCTGAATGGTGTTCACAGTATTTGCCATGTGCAGTCGGACCAGTTTCTTATATTTGCTGCTTTCAGAATTTAAACATCCCTTGTTCTCCATGTTAAAGGGAACCATTCTCTAAATGTAAATAATATATATAAATAAATATATATATATATTTATATATATATAATTAAAGAGCCACTTACTATACTGCATAACACCATGCATGCCTGTATTCATGTAGGCACAACACCATAATGATATTCTAGATTTGGCTTACATTTCACAGCCTGTTCTTTATAACACATACAGACACACTGGCTTCACTACAATTGTGACCTCTCTGACCTCTGGCTGGACAGTTCCAGCACAGCTTCATCTCTGGCTGACTTTTGTCCAGGAGCAGCAACGCCCGGTCTATTGTAAACTCTAACCCCCACTGCTGCTGGTGGACAAGTCTCAACACATTCCCACAATGCACTGCTGTTATTGCACAAGGGCTGATTTGGCTGTTTGATCACATCACAACTGTTAAAAGTGACATGTTGTACCACCAGAGACATGTCAACCAGCTTATCTGTGTCCGTGTAACTGTAGAGTTACATTTTCCCCATTCACAAAGCTATTTTATTTATATTTGTATATTATTTCTGCTTCTCTTAGTAGTTTGCAATCTATGCCATCATCTTGTGTTCAAAAGACAATCAATGGTCAGCCTGGAAATGCAATGCTGTATGCGGTTTATACCACAAATAAATATCTGTAGCTGAATAACAAAGGAGCTGCCATATTTTAACACATTTGTTCACAGCAGTTTTGTAGTGACTGAGCTGTCACTACAAAACTGAGAATTTGGGTTATGCACTTTAGTTAACGCTGGCCCATTTCCAGAGCATGTATTAGGACCACATACTATGAAACTGTAACATATTTAATAACATAATGATTGAAGAAATTCTTAAAGAGGCCCCTTTTTATACTTTTTGGGGTTTTCCCTTTCCTGTAGTGTGTTATATAGATTTCTGTGCATGTAAATGGGCTGCAAAGGCTAAAATCCAATAGTTCCCTGTAGAGGGAGTTTCTCTCGATTGGACTCCTTTGTTTACTTCTGCGACATTGTGACATCACTATGTAACGCTTGTGCTTCTATTGGCTAGTGCTCCAACACATTGTACGTGATAGTCTAAGGGGCGGGACATCTCTTAGCGGTTGACCAATCACAATAGAGCCGTACCTGATGATATTTATGGGGTACCATGTGTCAGTAAAGGTTCCTTAGACTTCATTTCCCACTTGTTAGTATGAATAAACATTAGCATGAATTATTGACGAAAAGCAGTGAAGGGTGGAAAATGAAATTGTGTCTCTTTACAAATCTTTTTCCTGCTGTTTCTCCAAGTTCTCTCATGAATGAATCATCACAATGTTGTGGTACTGTGCTGATTGCTTTGCTGAACTACAATTGTGAAAGATGGATCATCACTCTGTTGCTTTATTATTAATGTGGCCAATACCAAGTCCTCAGAAAAACATCTCAAGAAGCCAAATGAGAACAACAATATCAATCCATTTCGGAGAGCTCTCGGTATTAAACCATGCACACTCTGACAGTCTCTGTGTTATACTGGAGCAATAACGTGGCTGCAGAGTCGAGTGAGGCATTCACTCTCTGATTTAATAAAAACATTTATTAAAAGTTTGTTGCTGGCTTCACATGACCTCATTGTGTCTGGTCTATGCATTTAATCCAGTTACTCTGATATCTTTAAATTGTCTGTTAGATGTATTCAGTAAAAACGGAAACATATGCTTTCTTTTAATATAGTTTCGAAAAACAATATTGATCACATAACATATAATTTAATATTTCTGGGAAATCCATTTGTCTCTTGTCTACCTAAAACAATAAATTGAAGTAAAAAGCCTTTCACTCAGTGGCTCAGACCCATTAATATTTGAGCAGAGTAAGCTATTTCTGTTACAAAATCAGCAGTGGTGCTTTCAGGTCCGGTAGCTCCCTCAGTTAACTATTGACTATGTGTGTGGAGTCTGAGGCTGCAACATGTGGACAGCAAACATCATTCATCTGTACATGATTGCCTGTCTTGTGTTCAAAGTTAACACAAATAGGCTCTAAAGGAAGCAGCCTGGAGAAGATCAGCCGCCTGTAACGTTTTTAAAACGAATGACTTGTATACCGTTTCTGTAGATTGAACAATGACTACCTTTGTCACATAATGTGTTTTACACTACAAACAAGCTACTCTCTTGTTCCGGAAAACTCTTCTTTCTTTAAACAGTGACATTCACCAGTCATGTTATTGGTTGCTGTAAACTACACTCTAACCTGGGGGTCAGCAGGCTCCAGTTAGTCACAAGAGAAGGGTTCATTGATTGATTAACAAAGATACCATATTTTTGTTATATGAAAAGCCTGCTAAGGCCTCTGGAGTTTCAAACAGAGGTGAACATTAGAAAACATTTTACCCACAATTGAAGACTACATTTTGTCCCTATCTTACATGGACTTACGAGAAAAGGGTCCCCTTATGGCAAGTGGAGGAAAGTAATAATTGTAGCTACTAAGCTCTTTCCACATACAAATAGGCATTGAGGAATTGTATAGGGATCAACTTTAAACTGTCCGCTAATTCCTAGCTTAATCAATTGTTGGGTCAATTTAAATACAGAACATAGTAAAAAATGTCCATCTGTATTTCTCAAGATCCAACTGATGTCTTTAAATGTCTTGTTTTGTGCGTTCAAAACCAAAAATATTTGATTTAGTACATCATAACAGAGGTAGGATATTTTGAAAGCAGAAAACAGCACGTGCCATATTTTCATGAAAAAACCTTCAAACGGGTATCAAAATAGTTGCCGATTATTTTCTTTTGTCAATGAAATATTACAATCTCAACTGGTCTTTAAAGCCCTTTTCTGTGGACTGTGGGGTAGAGTCCCCTTGGTGCAGAGAACATAAGAATATTTATGGCTGCCATCACTTAACGCTCATTTTGGGGAAATGGCAGGAAGAGAGAGAAAGCACAAAATGTTAACATTTTATTTACAAAGTTGTTTTTTGTCATACAGAAAGTAAAAATGTAGCTACAACCTTGATTTGTGCAACAGGCGGCCACACTAAAAATCATGGCCCGCTGGTTGCACAGCTATAGCAATAATTTTATTGGGAAAAATAAGGAACAGAAAAAAGAAAAAAAACAATAAGACAAAAACAATTTAGAAATAATAAAACCCAACAAACAAAAAATAATTCATCCAACAAAATATTAAAAGCACAGACCCAAAACTAGATACCAGTCCCAAAGTCCTCACACGGGAATACACATAGAGGGAGCAACAGTGAAATTGTGGAATGCTGAGTGCTGGGCTGCCTGAGAACCTCGGGCCGTTGGGGGGTGAGGTGGAGGATGTTGGGTGGCTCTCAGCTCCATGTGGGGGAGGAGGGGGAGAAAAAAGGGGGCGGCAGCTCCACTCGGCCCACCCGTCCGGTACAGTCTTGCCCCGTAAAAAGAGCTCAGAGCTGGGGGTCAGACGTGGATTACAAAGGCGGTGCGAGTTGTAAGACGGCGGACGTTCGGGTTTGTGGGGAGGGAGGGTCACTCGGTAGGCTCTCGTTTTCAGTTTAGCTCTTAATCGTCGTCTTCATCATCGTCGTCATCCTCGTCCTCATCCTCTGGGTCTCGCTTTCTCTTCTCACCTTTCACGGCTACGACTTCTGCTTCTGGGGACAGAGGGAAATCTGTGTCATGAGATGTCATCGGATGGCAAGACCATAAAACTAGCACAACTGTGAACTAATATTCCTTTTGCAACCACTAAAACAACACTGGACACATTTTATCCCTTTAAAGTCCAAGAGCCGGATTCATGTTTTAACTTTTTACTATCTACATATCTTAATGTGTTACATATCTTAAAATTAAGTGTTAACTCTTACAAACAACTAGTTGTTCAGCTTTATCAAAGACATCCTCTAGTGGGACATTAAGGAGAGGGGTCAGTGTTGAAGAATGGTCACTATCATGTTTTGCTGTCTCTACATGATATAATGTTGCACGATTAGGAGCTGAAAATAACTGTCAGATATGTATCTTCAGTAATGAAATTTTTCAGGATTTACTGGCCCTTCCCTCCTCCTCCTGCAATGTATTTGCTCACAAGCTTTATTTCTTCTACCAATAGCTTTCTAATACCGTATTAATAATGAATCCATATATACTGTCTTATTTGAGTTGTATGAGTGGTCAGTAAGTCACCCCTATAGAAGCCCCTTGATAAGGCCCTGTGCCCTCTCCTGCATAAAGCTCCATCAGTAACCAGAA